TCACACACACACAGCTCACTGAATCTACATACTGAACATCTGGAAGAGGATGTTCACAAGTAAACATGAACTACATTCAAAAAAGAGCAAGAGTGATGAGGAAAATAGCCCTTACATACAAGTACACAGTGCAGATATCAGATGGTAATGGCATGACACTTCGACGTGTACCATGGTACTTCACTGATTAGTGAAGAAACAGAGAGAAAAAAGCAACTCACAACTCCACTCTGAGACTTGGTCTTCAGGTCCAACTTAACAGCTCCAAAACCTGAGAAAAGAAAATGTTGAATTAACATGTTAAACATTCATGTTATTATTTTGAATCATATCAAATCAGACACTGCGCTCGAGAGCAACGTACAAAAGTGCTGAGATACTATTATAGTTTTATAGCTTATTATAGATGTTATATATTATATATATTTTATATTGTTCATTTTAATTTTAGTTATTAATTTTTTAACTTTAGTCATTTTATTGTGTGTTTTGTCATTTTTATTCGTTTTTTATATTTCTATTTAGCTTATTTATTATACTTTCAGTTATACCAAATATATATATTTTTAAGTTTAACTTTTTCATTTAATATTTATATTTAAATTAACAAATTGACTTGTTACTGTAAAGGTACTTTTAAAGCACATTGCACAGAGCACTATATAAATAATCATAACTTGACAAACATACCAAAGGACTCATAAGTAGAAGTAATGTTAAAGGTGACATATCATGAAAATCTGACTTGTTCTGTGTTTAAGTGCTATAATCAGGTCCCCGGTGTATCTACCAACCCACAAAATGTGAAAAAGAACAACCCAGTCATTTTTTTGGTAAGCCTTTCTCTGCAGGCTTGTGAAAAAACGAGCCGCCCCGTGACGTAGATTATAATATTACAACCCCTTAATCTGCAAGTTTCCACCCACGGTGTCGCCATTGTGTTTTCGCAAGCGACAATGGTGTACCAGTTCTAACGCCATGGCGAAAGCTTGAGCAAAGCATGCTAACTGTTTTGTCTTTGGTTGCACTGATCAAAGAACACTATTCAGAGTCCCAGCCTCAGAGGAGACAAGACAGCAGTGCATTTATTGATTTATTTACTGTATATTACACTGCTGCCACACAGATCTAATATAAACATGCAATTTCTTTCCCAG